CAAATTAATATCCAAGCCTTTTGAAATCTTAATAATTAGCCAACCATTAAGTCTGCGTTAATAATTTCATTAAATGACGATGAGCTGACGAATATTGTGCTGACCTGGATCTTAGGTGGCCAACTGAAGTGTAGGAAAGATGGCAGTGATGGACTGGTGGTGATGATTATCCGCATCTGCGCCACAAGTTTGGTTATTATTATTTCTTTTATTGTTTTTATTTAAATGATAAGAAAAAATATGCTAATTAATGTGGATGCTGATGTGGATTGTTGGTTAACGGTGTTATTAACGGTTACATATGAGTGGATAAAATTTTAGACAAGTATAAAAGGTTTGGCTACTATTTGTATTACCAAAGGTTTGGCTATTATTTTGAAATCATTTATCCTGATTTTCCTATTAAGATTGACTAAGGATTAAATATAAGTGAACAATTATAGATGACACATGCTTTATTTGTAGTCGTATTGGTTCAAATGTTTGTTGTAAGTTTGTTGACTTGTAAGCAATAGGTCGACAGTTCGAATCCATAAGGAGTATTTTTTCGTAAAAGGGTTTGGAAGGGTATTTTAGTCAATACAGAGAGGGTTAGTATATAAAGAAAGAGTGGAGAGTGCTAGAAAACCCTAGCCGCCCCAACTCATTCTACTTCTTCTCTCTTTTTCCTCTCTCTCGTATTCTCTATTTCTCTCCCAAATCGACAACCCGACTGTGTTCCTCTCGGCGGCGGTGGAAGACAGATAGACAGTGGGAGAAATAATGAAAGGGGTCGTCGGTGCTTCGGTTGTCAATGGCGATGAGGGAAGATCGAAGAGTGCATGGGTTTTGGCATCTGACAGCGGCGAATCGGCTACTCTCGATCGGAAAAGCGATGATTCGGGTAAGATTTGGCCTGCATGTGTGTTTTTCTTGAGGGTTTCTGGCTCAAGAATGCGATTGTGACATTTTTATTCTGGGTTTTGTTTTCAAAAGAGGGAATAAGAAATGGGGTTCGCCAATGGCATCAGATGTTGAAGGCGGTGGATGAAGCTCGATGGATCTCAAATCTCCTCCAGCCGCGTTGAAGGAAACTAGATGGTTCAACGTCTCGCATCTGGCCGTGGTGAATCGGCTAGAACCGCCGGCCGATGAACCAGATCTGCTCTTCCGACGAGAAAAGCGAAAGAAAGAAACCAGATCTGCCTTTTTTTGGTAATTTATTATATAAATGTGCAGTTATAATTGTCAGAATAAAATTGTTTTCCCAAAAAAGTTCCTTAGTTTTTTATTGTATTATGATTTTTGTTTTAATTATTTTGCTGGTTTGGCATTCGGACTTGCAGACCTGGATTTTGGATGAGGAATTGATAGTGTATTTTGGGCAAATCTGGAATTTTTTCTCTGATGAGGTGCAGATTTGATGTTGATGAGGGAACCAGAAAATGAAACGAAAATTAAATTGTGACCTAAACTGAAATTAACCCGGATATAAAATGCGCCCTAAACTGAAATCAACCCTGATAAAATGTGACCTATACTGAAATTAACCCAAAAATAAATTGTGAATAATTACAAAAAATGGCCATCTTTCTGCAACGAACTGTCCGTCGCAGAATACCCTTATTTTCTGCAACGGTGCAACGGGCGTCGCAAAATGATCATTGTGCGACGAAATGATCGTCGCTAAATCATTGCCCTTCAGCGACGAATTTGGTTTTTCTTGCAACGAACCGGTTTTTTCCGTCGCTGAACTTTCTGCAACGCTGTATAGGCGACGAAGGGTTTTTCGCTTTTGCGACGGAAGAATTCGTTGCAGAAGGCTTCTGCGATGAATTTTAGGCCTTTCTGCGACGAATTTTTCCATCGCAGAAAGCGAAGTTTCTTGTAGTGAACGGCGGAGTAGGCTTTCCGGCGATCAGAGACGGCGGAGGAGGATTCTCCATCGGCAGTGCTGCGTTGGTGATGTTTGTTAACCTATGTTGTAATGTTTATAAGTTCAATTTGTAATGTTTATATCCATTCGGTTTGTATTGGTTATTATTTTTGTTTGTCATTTTTGTTTAGGCTAAATTACACGTTTGGTCACTCAAATTATAAAAATCTTTCACATTTACCACCCTAATTACTTTTCTTTCTTATTCGCCACTAACTTTACGAATCGTTTCACCGTTAGTCACCGGCCGTTCGACTCTGTTAACTTTGTCCTACGTGGCAGTCAACTATGAAGTTTGACCGTTAACTAGATGACGTGGAAATTTAAAAAAAATAAAAAAATAAATTTATTTTTCCACCTCATCATTTCTAATTTACCATATTAATTATTTAATAAAAATTAATAAATAACAAATAATAATATGATAAATAATTCATTTTTATTTATTTATCATGACCCTCACCACCACCATCACACTCCGCTACTCCTCTTCCTCCTCAACCTCCCCCGCCGCCGGCCACGACGACAACTCCACCATGTGCTCCTGAGCTTTCTCCATGTCGTGATTACTGTCTGGGTTTGTGCAAAGAGTCTTCACCTTCCTCAAACTAACCCCTGTTGACGAATGAACTCGACCTCTCCTGCTTGATTGCTTCGGCGACGGAGATATCAAAACACCAGCGGTCGGGCAGTTGATGGCTTCTAAATAATGTCACGATGTCCTGGATCAGCAGTCACCATCTTGCCTCGGGAGTTCTTCCAAATCGACGCCCTCACTTGCTGGGCAAGCTCCTGCGCAAAGACGACGCCATTCTTCAGTTTACCGATGTTATTTCTATTTTATTGCCGATTTGGAATAACTCCAACAGCCCTCAACAACCTCACCCGGCCGTCACTGCTGATCCAGATCCCGCCAAGCCTCCTGCCAAGTAAGTGGAAATACTGTCTCATTTACAGACATCAAGCTTATGATAAACTTGTTTGGCTCATAGAGATTATATATTCTGGGTTCATAAGTATCCTTTTCGTTTCGGTGTTAGACTCTGATGTTAGTTTGTTAGCTTTTGTCAGATATTAATTACTGTCATCTTAAAATATGGAACCCAGGTTATTATGACATGTACTATATCATTAGGCTAACCACCTTTTATTTGGGCTAGCTTAGTGGTTGTTTGAGTACTTATTTTTACGTATTTACACAAAAATGTAGGGCACAGGTGGTGCGGTGGCCGCCAGTGCGATCAATCAGGAAGAACATGGCGCAGACGCCCAGTCGTCCGTCAAAAATATAATAAAAATTAATTAATTATCATATTATTTTTGCCATTTATTAATTTTTATTAAATAATTAATATGATAAATTGGAAATGATGAGGTGGAAAAATAAATTAATTTTTTTAATTTCCACGTCATCTAGTTAACGGTCAAACTTTATAGTTGACTGCCACGTAGGACAAAGTTAACGGAGTCTAACGGCCAGTGACTAACGGTGAAACAATTCGTAAAGTTAGTGGCGAATAAGAAAAAAAAGTAATTAGGGTGGTAAATGTGAAAGATTTGTATAATTTGAGTGACCAAACGTGTAATTTAGCCTTTTTGTTTATTATATTTGTAATCTTTATATGACTATTTTGTATATATTGTAATTTGTAATGTATATTTGTCTAGTTTGTATACTTTTCTATTATGATTTGTATACTTTGTGTTCATTGGTTTGTAATACAACTTTACCGATTTGTATTGTAAGTAGTGGTATTTTGTATGGTTAGTATGTTTTGTACAATTTGAAGGGGTTTTTTTTTGTAATGTTTGTAAGTTTGTTACTTTGTAATGTTTCTAGGTTTCTTTTGTAATGTTTGTAAGGTTTTTTATTTTTTTCAACCATGTTTGTCATTTTTGTAACTCATGTTTGTAATGTTTTTTATGTTTAAAGAACAACTTGGTTGACTTTTGGATGAAACTCCTCTATATAGAAATGGAGCCTCCAAAGTCAACTAGGGTGTTTTTCCATTTTGTATGATTTGTCGGTATACTTTGTCATTTTTGTCCACCATGTTTGTATGTCAAAAAAACAATCGGGTTGACTTTGGGACGAAACCCTCTATATAAGGGTGGAGCCTCCAAAGTCTACCCCGTTGTTTTCTTTCATTTTCTATGGTTTGTATTGTTTGTCAGTCTAGTTTGTATGGTTTGTATAACTCATATGTTTTGTATTGTTTGTAAATATGTTTGTATGTTTTGTCGTTTTAGTTTGTAATGTTTGTATATTAGTATTGTTTGTACTGTTTGTAAGTCCGCTTTGTATACTTGGTAATTTTTCATAATAATCAAAATACCTTTTTCACTAATTAAAAAGGCATTCCCATTTTTTTAACCGTTAGATTAAGGTATCCTCTTGTGTGCCTGAGACGAAAAAAATAAATGAACACAACAGAATGTCACGAGGATACAAATACGTAGCCAAATATAGAGTTGTGAAAGTCACTAACCAAGCTAAGCACTCCATAATGATACCCTGAAGACACTACACTCAACTGACATTGCTTATCCATCGGCGCCTTAGGGATTTCTGGCCATCATCATTGTAATCAAATTGTTTTTTGTTGAACTAGCTGCGACAGTCCATCTGTTAGTTATTCATCTTATTTCGCTCTACAAAGACCACCTAAATCGTGATTCGAATTGATATAGCACCATGTTTTAGGCAGGCAGCATCAAAGAATGCTTGAGGATGTATATGATCCGTCTACATAGGCATTTTGTCTTCATCTCTTTCTTTGACACTCCTGGACGTGCACGAGACGCAAAAAAAATTGATGTACATAACGTAATGTCACTCGCGTAGATACAAATACGTAGCCAAATATAGACGTGTGAAACTAACCACACCATAATGATACGCTGAAGACACTACTACACTCAACTGACACTTGCTTCTCCATCGGCCCCTCATACGGCTTTTTGGACATATGCCCCAATTCATCCGATTAATGTTGACAATTAAACAACTTGACCGGACCGAATTAGTGACTCGAACCGGTCGGTTCGATCCGGATCTGATATATAACAGACGTTATAACTGTAGTATCGAAATCAAAGCTCCTTTCTCCGCATCCCTCAAACAGAGAACAGAACATCATTTAGAACATGGCATCCGTTTCGGCGATCTCTGAAGCTGATCGACTGGCGCAGTTCAGGGCCTTCGACGCAACGAAAGCCGGTGTAAAAGGGCTGGTGGATGCTGGAGTGACCGAAATCCCTCCTATCTTCTACACGCCGCCTGAAATCGTACTGGACAGCAAATCAAGTGATCGTGACAAGAAGTTCACCTTCCCTGTCATCGACCTACAAGGCGCGGCCACAGATCCTGCCAAGCGGAAGGAGATCGTCGAGAAAGTTCGAGATGCTTCCTCCACCTGGGGGTTCTTCCAGGTCCTTAACCATGGAGTTCCACTCAACGTCATGGAGGAGATGAAAGCCGGAATCAAGAGGTTCTACGAGCAGGATCTCGAGGAGAAGATGAAGTTCTTCTCACATGACCTCACTAGAAAAATTGCTTACAGCAGCAACTATGACTTGGTATTCCCGCAGGTCGCTACTTGGAAAGACACCACTGTTTTCAACATGGCTCCAGATCCTCCCAAGCACGAAGAACTCCCTGCTGCTAACAGGTATATAATTAAGATTTGCTACTAAAGTAGTGTCTTAAGTACATAACTTGAATTTTTTTTTTTTTTACAGGGAAATCATACAGGAGTATTCCAAGGAGATGGTTAAGATGGGCGACCTGATCTTTGAGCTGCTCTCGGAGGCTCTAGGACTTGACCCAAATTACCTGAGAAAAAAGGATTGCTTGAGGGGACATTACATTGTGTGTCACTATTATCCACGGTGTCCTCAGCCTGATCGTACTTTGGGGACAGGCAAGCACACAGACTCCGATTTCATGACCATTCTCCTACAAGATCATGTTGGGGGGCTTCAGGTGCTCCATCAGGATCACTGGGTTGACGTAACTCCTCTTCCAGGGTCCCTTGTAATCAACATCGGAGATTTGCTTCAGGTCAGGTTACACTCTTTCTTGTGTTTCCATACGGACCCAAGTGTTGCCAAGGTGTGTGGTCCGAAATTTTGTGCGAGACCATCAATTTCGTCGGTACAAAAAATTAATATTGAACTTTTTGACGTAGCTGGATATTTGTGACATTCACGAATTATTTATTTTATTGTTCTAATATTTTATTTTTATGCATGTGTTCAGAAAATTATTGTCCACCAAGGAAATTTCATGTTCTCATGTTATGCGCTTGATATTTCCAGCTTATGTCCAACGATAAGTTCAGGAGCGTGAAGCATAGGGTGCTAGCAAATCGCAGCGATGAACCGAGGATATCGGCGGCCTGCTTTTTTAGCACCGGCCTTCTGCCAAACCCAACACAGTATGAACCCATTGTGGAGCTACTATCTGAAGAGAATCCTCCCAAGTACAGAGCAACCACAATCTCAGAATACTTGATGTCTATAGCTACTAACAATAATGAAATCGATGGGGAGTCTCTTCTTCTTCAGCAGTTCAAGCTCTAAGTTTCGAGACTCTGGAGATTGATATGAGAAAAACTTCAGTGTGTACAACTTGACATATAATAAGAAAAGAATATGGGGATCGAATGATGATAATATGACCGAGCAGCAGCTGAAATTTATACCTCGTATGTTACATAATGAAGTTTAATAAATAAATAAATAATGAAGTAGAATAAATAAATAACTTTGCACCAATGGATCGAATTATATATATTATATTAATTAGTGTATCTTGATGCTTGAATAACTTTGAACTTCTGTAGTTGTATTATGTTAAGAAATAATTGTGGTCCCTTGTGTATATTAGTTTGCAACAGTTCATTCAATAATGCTTAATACGTGTATGATATAAAATTCTTGTTCTCTTATTATTACAAAATCACCCAATTACTTTTCTCCTTTATTCTATGATTAAAGGAATTTAATTGATATAGTAATTAAATTATATTTATTTCTACTTTAAATTATAAATTAAAAATATTTTCTAACCGATTATGAATTTTAAAAGTACTATAATGTTCACTTTTCGAAGAAGGTGGGTATTGCTTTCATTAACATTTGCCAATGCCAAGAAAAGTGAGTCTCTTTACCGAAGGTGTAAGCCAAAATACCACTACCGGAAAAGGGCGGTTAATCACACCGCCATACAAAAATTATAAATACAGAGATGTGCTAGACCTCGTAATCGAGCTACACTAATACCTAAGCGACGTAGCCAGGTAATCACTTCATCATGTCTCAATTTACCATACACATGTAACCATTGAATTACAACAAAAGACACCTTCGAAATCACAGGAAATTGTGATAAAGGGGTCGTTTGGAAGTTGTGAATGTTAAATCGTTGCATTGTAATGAATCACCATAATATAAATGCATGTATTGATACAATGTATGCATTTTAACAATACATTGTTTGGTTGTTGAGATTCTATTTTATGCATTGATTTACATAAAGTTATTTTATGGGGAAATGTCACATTTACCCTCAACTTTTAGAATAAGACAAAAACTATTAGGGATATAAATGGAAAGAAAAAGTTGACACAAATCTAAAACCAACAATCACAACAATCTCAACTTTTAGTTGAGATTGTATAATGCATCATTTTTTGTGATTGTTGGTGGGACCTACCTAAAACAATGCATACATTGTTTTACATTTTGAAACTTCCAAACATTGTATTATGCACAATACATGTATTCAACAAACACAACTTTAACAATCACAACTTCCAAACGACCCCAAAAACTTCTCCAGAAAGATTCTGGCATTCTGCTCCAACCAAAGATTCCACTACACTGCCAAAGGCAGACATCTAGACACTCATTTCCTCGCCCCGCTGGCCACACAAATGCTCCAGGCCTCTAGGAAGGACAACAAAGAAGTTGGAAAGGGACCATATAAATGCAATCTAGACTAGAGAAAATTGTAAAATTCCAATAATCGAACTAAAAGAAAGGAACACTCAACACCGGATTTACGTGGTTTTCCCGTTCATGAATGAACGAGACTAGTCCACGAAGAACGTGAGTTCTCGGATGTTCTTGTATTAACTTTGATTAGGTTTTCTTAGAGGCTAGGGCGTGTAACCCTTAGCTCCTTTATACCCAGCAGTAGTCGATCCCTAGCAACATAAAACACGGGATGACATAATTACAACGAGATCCCTAAACTATGCAAAATAACAAAATCATGTCTAAGAATCTCAATACTCCCCCTCAAGCGAAGGAGTGAATATCCAGAAGTCCAAGCTTGACCAGAAGATGAGAAAACTGATCAATGCTAAGACCTTTGGTGAAAAGATCCACTGGCTGCTCAGAAATGGTAATCTTGAGTGGCAAAACATCACTCGATTGAACCCGTTCACGAACAAAGTAGCAGTCCATCTCCACGTGCTTGGTACGTTCATGAAACATCGGGTTAGCAGCAATGTGTAATGCTGCCTGGTTGTCACAATAAAGAGGAGTTGGTCGGGTGAGTGTCACACCAAGATCACGCAGAAGCCAGCGGAGCCAAACAATCTCGCTGACCGTGCTAGCCATGGCACGATATTCTGCTTCGGCCGAAGAACGCGCAAGCACAGACTATTTCTTGGTGCGCCAGGAAATAGGAGATGACCCAAGCTTAATGAAGTAGGATATCCATAACATATTTGCGCTAATTCAAAACCGAACCACACAGTGACCGGGCAATCTCAGTGCCAAGAAAGTACTTGAGTGGCCTAAGATCCTTAATAGTGAAACGATCATGCAAAAAATCCTTTACCCGCTGAATAAAAGCCATATCATCACCTATGAAAATGACGTCATCAACGTAAATGAGAGCCACAACAAACGTCAAACCATGTCGATAGGTGAATCGGGCATGATCTGTGCGGCTCGGGACGAAGCGAAGTTCCCCAAGCGCCTGAGTAAATTTCTGAAATGGATTTGCGAAGGAGGCAAACCCGAGTCTCACTAGGGCGAGAAAAACCCTGTGGAATCTCCATGTACACTTCTTCTGCCAAATCTCCATGCAGAAAAGCGTTATTGACGTCCAACTGGTGGATGATCCAACCTCGACTAGCAGCAACTGTGCGTAAACAATGAACCGAGACCAACTTGGCCACTGGAGCAAAGGTGTCATGATAATCAATGCCTTCGACTTGGGTTAATCCCTTAGCCACCAGGCGAGCTTTGCATCATTCCACTATCCCATCAGCATTGAACTTCACCTTAAAACCCCACTTAGAAGCTATAGCGTACTTCCCAGGTGGTAAATCACAAAGCTCCCAAGTGCCATTCGATTCTAGAGCATTGTACTCGATGATCATGGCATCACCGTGGATCAGGGATAGAGGGTGACGTTGATTGAAGCTGCATGGGCTCTACTGGAGCATGCAAAGGAGTAGCGTCTGGCGCATCATCCCAACTCGGCAGCAAATGAGAATGTGGAGACGGCGAAGGCAAACCTTGAAGAGAGGTCGAGGAAGGAGCAAAAGACAGTCGATAAGGAAAATTTTCTTCAAGAAATCGCACGTCACGTGACGTATATATGTGTTTGTCCTCCAAATCATACACGCGATAACCACGCTGAGTTCCAGGGTACCCAACGAATATACCAGCACGACCACGATCCGCAAACTTGTCCAGTCCTCTACGATTATCTCGGGCGTACACAAGACAGCCAAAACTACGCAAATGGGGATAGCTAGGATCCTTATCAAACATGATCTGGTAAGGTTTCCGATTCCCAATCGTAACGAGACGCATGCGGTTAATCAAGTACGCCGCTGTAAGCACACATTCACCCCAAAACTCAAGAGGTAAATTGGCATGAAAATGCAAAGCACGCACAATCTCTAAAAGATGGCAATGCTTCCGTTCAACCACACCATTTTGTTGTGATGTGTCAGTACAAGAGGTCTGCAAAATGATACCAGACTCTTCATAATAAGTCCGTAGTGCAACAGTATCAAACTCCAGACCGTTATCAGCCTGTAGGCGACAAACTTCCTTCCCGAATTGAGTCCGAACCATATGATAGAAAGCCAGTAAGTGGCCCCCAACATCAGATTTGTAGCGAAACAAATACACCTAGACAGCTCTACTATAATCATCTACGATTGTCAAAAAAAATAATGGGCACTAGAATGAGAAGAAATCCGATAGCCACCCCAAATATCCAAATGAAGAAGTTCAAAACAAGACGTAGTGGTTATCGAGCTAGACTGAAAAGGATCACGAGCTTGTTTTTCCCGAATACAAGAATGACAAGGAACATTCTGCGGCCAAAGAGGTGTAGAGATAAAATTCTGCAATGTTTTCAATTTCGCCAATGCTGGATGACCCAACCTAGCGTACCAGAATGCCGCTTTATCTTCCACTTGACGAGCAACATGAGCCACCGGTAACCGCCCATCAAAGACTTGAAGATAATACAGCCCATCCACATGCTTACCCATCCAATCAGCGTCCTGGATGGTAAGTCCTGAAGAATACAGAAGTCACCAAGAAATATTAAGGCTACCGGGAGATCAGCCGTGAGCCTACTGACGGAGAGCAGATTACACTAAAAATATAGTACGTATAAAACTCTGCGTAGAAATAATCCATTAGGCAACTTAACAAAACCAATACTGCGAACTGGAACTCCCGTTCCATTCGGTATCCGAACCTGTAATGTTGGAGAAGGCTCCAACTCATTCATTAACAAGGTTTTGTCAGTGACAATGTGCTCATTACAGCCAAAATCTATAACCCATGAAAGAGAATTAACATAGCACGTATCCGCCATATTTGAAACCGGATCCGACTGATGTTGTGGAGGCAATTTCACATCCGAGCCCAAGAAGGACTTTAATTGAGCAAAATTGACTCGCTGTGAGTCCTGGGATTGGGCTCACATCAGCCTCAGCATCTACGCCGCAGCCTGGGGAGAAGCACACTGACTGCGATCATTCTTCTTCCGCGGCGGCAGCTGATCACCCTCCTTCCGAGATGGATAACCAATTAACTTATAACAAGTTTCTCGAAAGTGACCGGGCTTCTGACAGTGGCTACAAATCGGCTTACCATCTACATATCTCTCCCCCTGTCGCGGACCCCAATCGAATTGACGCTCACCATGGTCTTGAAAGACTACCGCGTCACCTCTTGGTCTTCTGCTGTTGGAAATATTTCGCTGTTGTTCCTCATTCATGACAAGGTGATATGCCTCGCCCAAACTAGGGGTAGGCTTCATAGCCAGAATTTGTGTCTTAACAGTACTAAAATCATCATCAAGACCCATGAAAAAATCGAAAAGATGTTCACCTTCTTTAACTTCTCGCTGGCGACGCTTGACGTCACAGGTGCACCCTCCACAAGTGCACTCGAGAAGAGGAGTTAGCGAGCTGATCTCGTCCTAGTAACCCATGAGCTTAGTGTAGAAATGCGCAACTGTGGTCTTCTCTTGCTGCAGGATACTGATCATGAGCTTCAACTCATACATTCGAGCCGCACTCCCATGACCAAACCTTGATTGCGGATCAAGCCAAATATCTCGTGAAATCTTGGCAAAACATACGCAACATACGCTGTTGCGTATGTTCTTTGTCATCACGGTCTTAAGCCATCCTTTTACCCTCTTACACACTACTTCCAAACATCATAATCTTCTCCCCCTGACGCTGGCGCAACAATGGTGCCATCAATGAAACCAAGTTTGTTCTTGGCAATAAACGAATCAGTAATATCTTCAACCCATTCCCCGT